GAGTAAGGAAGTGTTTCCTACTTGAAAATCATCGAGCTTATTTGACACAGTTTTCTAATTCTCTAAGTTTTGATCAATACTCCATTTTCTCACATTCGCAAATCAGATCTATTGATTTTCCAGATGATAGATGGTCCACGTATAACTTAATTTTTACTATATATTAAATTATTTTTTATCTATTTTTAAATTAGTGGGGGTTTTTTCTTAATGAATTAGAAATTACCAAATGAATTTTCGAAAATACTCAATACATCAAGTAGATACTCATCTAAATTGATATTATCTTGTAACTATTAAAATTCTATTGTTAATATATTTTTAAAACATTCTTTGAAAGCAATTAATTGTAATTTAAGCTTTAAAATGTTCAACCTTTACTTTTTCATAAAAGAAAACAAAAGCTAGCGAGAATATTGTTATTTAATTTCTTTAAATTTTTCAGGTTTAGAAGCAGATTCTATTTCATTTTTTAAAATTAGAACTGTCTTAAAACTTTCTAAAAATTCATTAAAGCATTTTTGAAGCTCTTAGATCTGGTGTTCGTAATGCTAATTTAGATTATTTAATAAACTTTAACAGTATTGAATTAAGTTACCTTTTTGAAGAAAAAACATTTCAAGTTTTGAGACTTATTTTTCAGTTTGTTGAATAAGAGTTAACATGAATTGAGCTTCTTTCAAAAAATTATTCTAGCTAAGAGACGTATTAGATAAGACTAGTATCTTTTACTTAAACTCTTGGGCAAATGAAAATTATTAATCTGTTAGATTTAAATTTTATAATGCCTTCTAAATCAGAACCAATTCTTACTAAATCATTTTGCTTTCATCAGGTTCATTTCTATTATCTTTAATATCTTAAATTGCTTATGATATTATTTATTCTAATAGTCTCATAATATATTTAAGTTATTAATATAAATTGAATTCATTAATCTTTTTCTATTCAAGTTATTCTATATAAACATTTTATTTCCTTTTACTAAGCTTAATAATTTTAATGATTTTTAAAGTTTCTTGAAAATATTCTTTGAAGTTAAAAACTATTTTTTTTAATTAGGAATTATTTGTGGCTTATTCTATCGTGAAATTAAAATACTTATTTTTTTTGATAAAATTCTTATAATTGTAAACTATGACTCGCAACCTCTCATCATTCTCTTAAATTAAAGCAATTAATTTATTTGAAATTATGTGATCAAAAAATTGTTAAATTTTGCAAATAGTCTGGGTAGATGAATTTTTTTAGCATTCCATGCTTTCTAATTCTAATTTTAATTTTAGATAAGAGCCAAATGTGAAATGGATATTATCATTTTTTTCATTCAGTAAGAAGTCTTTAATTACCATGAGGTTTTCCCATCCTTTGAAAGTTTCTTCTAGTATTAATTTATCGATTTAAGTTAATTCGTTATTTTTAAATTTATTAAGTAAAGTTAAAGCTTCGTCATTGCTATGATTCATTTAAATTAGAAACCCTCTTTTCAGATATTCCTTCCATATTTACATTGATTTAGCTTCAAGATTGAAAGAGCTAGTCAACTGTTTTAATTTTTCTTTTGTTATAATTGGATGATAAATTAAGATTTTTCCAATCATTTAAATCCACAAAAAATGATTTTTCCAATTACTTGAATTTTTCACAAGTTTTTCATGTGTTTTCTCAATTTATAAGATTATCTCTTCTAAATCCCTTTAGCTATCATTTTTTAAATTTTGTATGATCTCCCATTTTAACATATCTATTTAAAAATAAACTTCATATTATTTTCTATTTTCTTTAATTTTTTACATGTTGTGAATTTAGCAGGCTGACAAAAATAAGGATTCAAGTAATTCAACATTAGGTTTCATTTGTATTAAAGAATCAAATATACCGCTTACAAATCCATTTAAAATATCTTCCCTTTTTTTTCTGTTATTTGGAGCCATCTAGAAAGAGGTTTTTATTAAGAAAAGATACAATTCCATTTAAATTAAAATCAACTCATTCTTCTCTATTTACATTGATTATTTTAGATCATCAGAAGCATCCAGAAATTCCTTTTATAAATCAATTTTCATAAATCTATCCCCATTCATTACATGGAAACTAAATATGACTTTAGATAGAGATGCTGTAATCTATAAAATATACAAGCATTTAAAAGAATCTGTTCTAATATATATCAAACAGCTTTTCAATAATTTTTGGATACCCTCTATAATTAAGTTATATGAATTTATGATATGTTATGTATTCTTATTGAGTTTGTAGATGCTTTCCTCTTAAAAAATAAACCATTGTATGGCTATCATTATCTCTTAAGATTCTATTGAATTGATAGCAACAGCAGCTTTAGCACAAATTATTTCAACAAAAGAATTGAATTTGGCAATAAAATTTTCTATATCTTAAATATCTGACTTTAAGCTTTCATATGTTCTTGGATTCATTTTAAAAGATCCACAACCACCTCCACGTAATGAAGATATTGCCTTATTCTCTAAGGCTAACATTTTTAAATAAATTTTAACTAATAAATCCATACCGGTATAAAAATGTATATAAACTGATATTAATTAATACTAAAATATTTAATTGTCATAAAATAAAAAAGGAAGATAATGTAAAGAAT